GGAAATTAATTTGATTCTTGATAAATGAATGAATACTAACGACAGTGTAATAATGATAGTAATAATAACCAGCACCAATCACCATCAACGAGAGAGATTTAACAGGGGTTGTCTCCTTCACCTATCTGGCCAGAAAGCATCGTTTCAACTACAGGAGGATGGCACGGACGAAGATGTCAAAGTCAGTCAGCCAGTCAGAATCGGAAAGGCAAGATACGCCTTCATCAATCTGAAACCAGATTGGAAATCTTCTGCAATGACTCAGCATAAAGAACAAGATTCACATTTTCGACACCAATGTGGAGTCAGTCCTTCTGCACGGGTCAGAAACTTGCACTACGTGTCACGGAAACGGTTTCCAACCGGTTGTAGACTTTCATCAACAGCTGGCCACTTCGTTGGCTCCATGCTGAAGATCAAATGGCCAGAAAGAATAAGCAACAAGAAACTCTGACTGGGAACAAACCAATCAGGAGGCGGTCGCTCAACAAATATGTAGGAGAAAGTAGAGATGGATCAGGCCGACGAATGACATCGCACGCAGTGCAGGCCATCACTCAAGTGGAGTCCCAATAGGAAGCGATGAGTGGGTCATGTGGCCAAGGGTGACATGGAGGAGATCGTGTGAAGAAGAGATGAGAGCGTTCGATCAATCGTGGACCCCGCTGAAGAGGACGGTAGAAAACAGGACAAAGTGGAGATGTGTTGTTGAAGCCCTATGTTCCACTCTGAACGCAAAGGAATAATAACAATATATAATATAATAAGCTGAGTACATCGGCCGTACCATGCGCCAACTTGGAAAACGCGCTCGCTAACACTTCCCAGCCTGGCTAGTAAAAGGAGACCAAAAACGTGTATACAGTTCAGTGACAGAGCATCTGGTCAACTCAGGACATTCAGCGCCTTTCGAAAAATCCTTCAAAGTAATATACAAGATTCAATCAAACCTATCAAAGGGAGATAAATCAAGACATCTGGGCATAGCTGAGGCGTTAGCTATCCAAATCTTCAGACCCACTCTTTGTTTCCGAAAGAAAAACGTCCAACCCCTGTCCCTGCCATGGCCATCATAAACAGGTAAAATTTTTTTAGTAATGAAAATCTCATCGCCTTTCTTATCTAAACTTCCTGTTTATTCATGTTATTTTAAGTTTTTCTTAATCCCTGTCTACACTGCCACATTTTCATATCCACACTTCCTGTTTATTTTTTCTACATATTTAATCCCTGGTTGCATAAACAATTATTCATCATATTAGTTTTTTATCTAAACATCCTGTCTATTTTGTTATTTCTACATTTCTAACCCTCAATTGCGCAATGTCAATCTTCTTAATTATTATAATGCTACCTTGTTCGAGTTTTATCCGTCCCCCTGTTTATTATGGCATTCTAATTCCTAATTGTAATTTTTATTAATTTGACCCTTAACTGGAAATTGTTCTGGAACTTTCCCATCCATTTGATATAAATACACGAATGTACAGCCTAGATGATGACTTCGTCGAAAAGAAAATTTTCTTCGCTGCAGCTGTCTTTTTATTCCCTATGATAATAAGAAAAACACTGTTTTCTATGTACCATTCTTTTAGACAAAAATCCTGCAGTGTTTCCGCCAACCAACTATATGGGTTCATTCCAATCGATCTGTTGACAGTCAACTAATTTTCAAATTCTTGATTTTGGGGAATTTCAGTGATTGCAAGTTAAGTGTCGTTGGGAGCCAACAGCAGCTGGAAGACCATTAGAACCAAAAAAATACTAGATGATGACTGCAGTGTACTGGGAATCGGGAGAAGCTAGAGTTCATAGGCTGTTGGATTCCATCTCAATGACAGGAAAGTCAACAGAATATGTCTCGTAACCTGAATATCTCAGGTTCAATCCACAGTACAGTCATGGGCGAATAGTACTGAAGAGTCCTCAGCCAGGGTGAAACAGATGCCCAGTACTCCCAAGTTTTCAGCGGTTCTCTAACTGGTGTCGGTTGGTGAAAAAGTTATCCCCGTGATTTGATAATTGTTAAATGAGACCAATCACAACATAATTGAAAGCATACAGTGCTCTACTATTGAGGATTGTTGTTGTTACTGCTATTCCAATAGGGTTTATACAACACATCTCCATTTCATCCTACTCTCCTCTGCAGTACCCTTTAGTCTGCTTCGTCTCATTTCCTCTTTACACGATATCCCTCTTATCACCTTCAAGCCTGAACCCAACCAATGGTTTCCCATTCGGGTTCCACTCAAGGGACTGTCTAGCACACGATGTCATTCACTAGTCTTCCCGCCGTGTGCCCGATCCACCTTCAGAATGTTGTCGGTTGGTTAACTGCTGGAGTTCCTTTTCGCCTATTATCTCCTGCTGGTCATCCGATCTATAGTACCGACCAAGCAAAGGAATCCGTTGATCGAAGTCTGCAGTCGCCTGTTGAAAATGCTTTTCATGACGTTACCGTCAAGTCTCTGAACAATATAGACTCACTGACTTACTTAGCATTAGTGCTGAAAATTGGAGTTTTATTCTTCCTGCTGAGCTCGGCAGATTTTCACACTGATTTCAAATTAATACAGGTCTACAGGATTTCATCATGAGCTGACGTCGGTTAAGGAACCGCTGGAAAACCTACGAGTACTGGATAGCTGTTTCGTCCCACTAGTTTGGAACCCTTCATCAGTACGCACCCACCGCCAAGATTCGAATTCAGGACATTCTGGTTACAAGGCGAGTAAGCTCGTAGACTATTAAGCCACTGGGACCCAATCCAATGGTCAGCACATGAATTCCAACTTCTACCAACTCAAGATATTGCACAACCACTAGCCGATGTCATCACTGGAGACTACCTGCCTGAATAGGGCCAGCCACTAGTGAGCACTAGTGAATTGGCAGAAGTTGGAATTCCTGTGCTAGCCATTGAGTCGGATCCTAGTAGCTTAATAATCTACGAGCTCACCTCGCAACCGGAAGATCCTGGGTTCGAACCTTGGAGGTGGGTGCATACTGCTGTAGAGTCCCAAACTAGGGTGAAAAAAGCTGTCCAGTGCCTCCTGGTGGTTTATCAATGGTTCTTTAACAACCGATATCAGGTCATGATGAAGTCCTGTAACTAATCAACTCCCTGCAAAGCAACAATTGAATAATAAAGGTTTATCTCGCTCTCCTGATTCTGCTTTCAACATCTCCATCCGTGTCGTCTACCTGTAGCTGAGACGATGCTGTCTGGATAAGCGAAGGAAGTAACTTCCTTCAAATTTCTCCCCTTGATACTGATCAGTGTTTCTTGTCGTTGATTAGGTATCTCTATCACCACTTTCTCCTTTACTAAGTTAGATTAAAAATAAACAAAATTTACTGTTATGAGTTCCTTCTGTGATTTTTTATGTAATTTATATAAATTTAGAAAATAATCAACAGATTGTGTGAGGAAATATATTCGTTTTCCAATCAGTGCCTCATCATCCGCCTGGCTCTACACTAACATATTGTATGTTTTACATCAAAATTATTTCTAGTGGGAAGCTGTGACCAGTAGGGTACAGCAGGTTGAAGATGAGGCGGTAACTCATAGAAGAAGACATTGCAAAATGGTCACGCTATGTCGTGAATTGACAGAAGTTAGAATTCAAGGACCACTAGATCGGGTCCCAGTGGCTCAATAGTCTACGAGCTCGCCTTGTAACCAGAAGGTCCTGGGTTCGAACCCCCTGTGGGGTAGGTGCGTACTGATGAAGAGTCCCAAACTGGGACGAATTGGCTGTCCGGTACTCCCAGGTTTTCCAGTGGTTCTCTAACTGATGTCATCTCATAATGAAATCCTCCACGTTTAGGTATACGGAGTGGGGGCGGGGGAAATTAAGAGGTTAAAAGTCAACACAACACCAACACATAAACTAATTTGTTTCTAAGGCTCTTGTAATCTACATTCACGCCTCCTAACTCCCATCTCAAGTTGAAAATTATTATTTCAATTTTGTTTCCATGTTCATTTTTACACACTTGTCATCCGTTCTAATCCTGTGTAATTTTGTTTCTAAGCCTCTCGTAAAAACCATATCTAGTTGAAAATAATTGTCACCTTTTATTCGCCGTCATAATTATGTAGAATCAAACAAGAATTGTCTCCATGTAAAATTATGTATTTAAATGCGATTGTACAGCTGCTTTTGAAAATGAAATCGCCGAAAAGACAGTTGTCTTTGCTGAACTTCGTGTTCTCTTCTTTCTAACTAATTAATAGATGTTGTTAACAAGATATCTAAGTTTTCAAGAAGCTAGGGGTGAAAATTAATCACGGAATTCAAGATAAGTTCATTCTTAGGCGTTATCAACATGTAATTACATAATCGAGGAGTTTTTAATATAGCCATGATGACTCAGAAGAATTACGTACAGTAAAAACAAGTTAACAGAACTAACTAGAATTGTAGAAGTTCACAAAGTCAAAAGACAATTTGCAAGGGACGGGAAGATTCGTCTTTAAAAACTTAATGCATGTTATGTAGTTGGCCAAAGTTGGCTAAGAAAGGGGACGTACAAATTTCTTTTGAACTGACACACAGATCTGACTTGTTCAGATGAATTCCGATTGCCTCTGTTGTATGTAAAAGTTGTACTCGTAGACCATGAGGCGACAGCTTGGGTGACATACGGTAAATAACTTCAAAAGATTTGTTGAAGTGAGTCGACTTGATGTCCAGTACCGACAGCGAGATAAGCTAGTCTTGGGCTGCGTATAGCAGCTTTTTTAGGACCTTTGCCAAATCCAGATGTGAGAAAGTGTTCAGAAATTCGACGATGGACTTGCCTTATCGAATGCATGGGTAGATAAACTGGTAAATACCCATAGAAGAGGCGAAACAGTGCAGTCTGTCTTTATTTCTTGGACTAAGTATTGCTTTGCTAGTGAATACAAAGCATTGCTTAATAAATAGCTTATATAAATATAAATACCATTGATGCTTCTATTTTCCCTTTTCCCAACTTTCTTTCAGTGTTCCTGGCATAAAATTTGAATACGACTGTTGTCCTGGCTATGAAAAAACAAAATTTTTAGATAACAAATGTGCTTTTGTCGATCGATCGTGGCAAAACATTATAACTCAACTTAGAGAAAGCAAGTATTTACAAACAGCTCAAGCGTTAGCAAAAGACGAAAAACTAAAGGATTTATCTGCCAGCCCAGCTAACGGTGTTTATACAGTATTTGTTCCACAGCAAGATGATGATATCATGTCGAAAGAAATGGATTATGTCAGGTAATATTTTGAAGGAAAAAAAAGTGACCAACTGCTCATTTTTGAGTTTTTAATCTTTTCCGTGCTTTCTCTGCTATATTTTCCATTATTATTATTATTTCCTTTAATTTCTGGAGGAACATAGGGCTTCAGCCGCACGTCTCCATTGGGTTCGTTTCTCTGCTAAAGTTCTCACCTGGCTCCAAGTCTGCCCACATGCTTTCATCTCCTCTTCCCATCACCTCCTCCAAGTCACCCTCACACTGACGTTCAACTCGCCGCTTCCCTTTCGAACTCCACTCGAGGGCTAGTCTAGTGATGTCACTTGATGGTTTCCTCAGAGTATGGCCAGTCCAGCTCCATTTCTTCCTGCATATTTGTTGCACAATCGGTTCCTGGTTGGTTTGCTCCCAGAGATCTCTCACTATTACTGATCTTTTCTGGTGGGCCATCTGATCTTGAGTATTGAGCGAAGACAGCTAGCTGTTGATGAAGGTCTTTAGTTTTTTTGAGGTGCTCTTCATGATGCGTCAAGTCTCTGATCCGTATAGTAAGTAGCAGTGACTTAACATTGGAGTTGAAATTCCCGGTCTTATTTTTGGTGCTGAGTGCTGTTGATCTATCTGCACACAGACTTAAGAGTAATGAAGACTTGTCTTGCTATCCCGATCCTTGCTTTGATATCCTCATCAGTTTCGCCTATAGTTGAACTGATGCTTCCCAGGTAGGTGAAGGAGGTTGTTTCTTTCAGATTCCTCCCATTTATGCTGATTGTTGTCTGTTGTTGTTGCAGCTGTTGCTGTTGGCCAGGTATCTTCATCACCACATCTGTTTTTTCTATGTTCACCTGAAGTCCTATTGTAACAACAGAAGAAAAGGCCAGGCAACAGATCATTTATTAAGGGAATCAACGCATATTTATATATTTTCATGTACATTACTATGGATATTTAAGCAAACAAACACAGTCTTCCGATTGGTTGTTTCTCACGTAAAGTTAATCTTTCATCTATTTGTGACTGTTTCTTGAATTTAAAATCCTCTATATGTTAACTGCATCCGCCTACGCAAAGTCTGCTTTGGTCGGTTTTGAATCAATCTTTGTTCACATTTTCTCACGACAAATCTTGAGAACGTAAATATTGACGTAAATTACTGTCTACTAATTTGGCTAGTAGACAGCTCTCACCACACTATCTTCTCTGGATGCTTCTTCTGCCAACTTGTTGCTTTTCACTTTCATATGTTTCAGTTTGCGAGAAATCAGACATACATCATCGGTGAAGTCCAGATCCTCCAGGTTCTTTTGTGTGGGTCCATTTTATGCCTGTCTCCTCGCTGCCCGCTGTCTGTTCATATTACTCTAATATCTTATAAGTCATAATAATTTCTGTGCACTATAAGGGTAAGTGTTTCAATTGTAGCATGCTTGCCAACCAGACCACGTATGTCTTCTAGGTTCTATTCCAGGCTGACACACTCAGAGATCCCGCCTAACTCACTAGTTGGTAGTAAGCCAAGGAAAGAAGGAAGACTGACTGTCGTCAAAGGCTTCCTGCCGATTGCTTCCAACCATCTAATACCAACAATTCATAGTGCACCGTAATGGTGAGCCACCTAGCATGGTGGCCACATTGCAAACATGACTGATAGAATTCAGTCTGCACCGAAGATAGGACTAGACATTTTATACTAGTTACTGACTAGTGTGCAATCAAAAATATCCAATACAGTCATACAGGAGGTCAGTCGCGAGTCAACCCGAACAGCTCAGTGACAACGTCTCTGACTGCAGCACTGGGTGACGCGTGTTCGAATCTCAGAAGGGACATGAGTTCCTTCAAGGTTGCAGATACGCCTTGCTGACTGATGAGTGCCAACTAGCACGAAACCTAAGTCCAAGGATTCCTGTCGCCGATTGCCTCCAACCATTTAATACCAACGATACTACATCTACCGAAGCGTCATAAAGGCTTGAAGTTCTATGCATCTAACTGGAATGCAAACGAACGAAAATATGGGGACATTTATTAAATTATCGATTGACAACTTACAAGTGAAAGCTGTCTGCAAGACAAAATTGTAGACAACAATTTACGTCAATGTTTACATCCCGAATCGGGGTCATGAGAAAACAAACACAATAACAAAAGCTTAACCTTGAGGAACTCACCAACCAATCACAGAAGACCTAACGTGTGCAAACATGATTCGCAGATTTATGGCTTTACTTTCTAAGAAACGGCCACAAAGAGATGACAGAATAACCTTCAGCAGGAAAACAACCAATCAGAAGATGTTGCTTCTCTGCTAACAATAACGCTAATAATAATGTACATAAAAATCTATAAATATCTGTTGATTTTCTGAATAGACGATCTGTTGCCTGGTCCTTCTCTTCTGTTGTTAGAAAAGTACACCAATCAGATCACAATATGTAGTCTGCTTGATACCATGAAAGGTTATGAAGAAAGTGAGCATAATGGAATGGAACTATATACTACTAATTGATTGAAATGAGTAGGTGTATACTGCCCACATCAACCAAATCTATTTGATCTAAGCGCCAAACAGACGTTTATTTCTCTTCTGGCTGAGCTCATCAGTAGTGTACTCGGTATGACTAAGATCACAGAGTCGAGTGAGTTTAAATTACCCGATTTCTGGCTAGCTACTTGAGAGAAGTCAAAATACCACATGTGTGTTGAGATAAACCGAGCACGCCACCGATGAGCTTAGCCCCAAAAGTACGAAACAGCCGTTACTTCGATTCTTCTAGAAAGCACTTTACTGGTTAATTTCAGTGTTATATAGCTACTTATTTTAGTTAGTGAGTAGTATTCAGTTCCACCCAATTAAGGATAACTATCTTCAGTGCAATAAGCAGAGGGATGGCTGTTAAATATCATAAAAACTATACACTGTCTCTGAGATATCCATAAGGAGGATAATATAATGAATTCACCCAGAATATCAGTTGAAATTCGAGCAACAATTAGTAATAATGTTATTATCATAATAATATAACTAAACATTGATTGTTCCGAATATTGCAGTAGTATGTTACACAAGTTTCTGACACGCACAAATTACTCAAAATCTCAGTTGAACAAATTAGTTTGCCACAAGAAATTTAATAAAAGTTTTCTTCAATAAATCAAGGAAATTCATTGGTGCTTTCCCATAGTACTATTTCATTCAAGTTCATGGTTGCAGCGCTTTGTTTGGAGAACACAATTCAGAAATCACAGAAAAATGCAGTGTGACTTTAGTTACTCATCAGTTGTAAATTATTATATCTATAGGTGAAAGAAACAAATTCCTACTTCATACAGACTTGCTAGAATGGGGGCCACATTGCAAACCTGACTGACTGATAGAATTTAGTCTGCACCAAAGAAAGGACTAGACACATCACACTAGTTACTAAAGTCTAATCAAAGTATCCACTAAAGTCCTACAGGTGCAGGTCAATCGCGAGCACGAAACCTAGGTCCAAGGTTTCCTCGTGCCGATTGTCTCCAACCATTCAATATTATCCAATAAATATGCACCGTGATGGCGAGCTACCTAGTTGCATGGTGGCCACATTGCAAACCTGACTGATGATACAATTCAGTCTGCACCAAACAAAGGACTAGACACATCACACTAGTTACTAGTGCCCAATCAGAAAAGACTTCCTTTTTACTGAAATTCATAAAGTCACAATCAATGCATTGTTCAACTGAACCAAAATGTACCACTGGAGGTATCTTTGAATCAAAATTAACAACAAACGCACTTAAAAAAAGTTTGTGTAATAACATGATAGTAATATCCATAGCTTGTAATGAGCCCTTAAGATGGCACATAAACTCTGTTTAGCATAGAAAAATCAAAGAACAACATAGCAACAAAGTGTAAAACTTGAGAGAATTCATGGGCCAGCCACTGGATTCCATTCAAGTGACTGAGTTGTCCAAGGGTTCGCCTCGTATTCTGAAGGTAGTGGGTTCGATTCCTAGTGCAGTCACGTGCAAGTATAACTGAAGAGTCCACAACTGGGACGAAACAGCTGTCAAATACTCCATGGTTTTGTAGGTGATGTTATTCGGCAATCTAACTTTAAATCAATTGCATTCGTGTAAAGTGACATTCAGAAACATTCACAGACAGGTAAAATTATATATTTTGTTCAGTACAAAACAATTCGAACAACTGGGGTAAATTGAGGGTTTTTCACCGATTTTCTGAAGTGAAGTTGTACGGTTCGATACAAATGTTTAAAGTTCATTTGTTGATGCAATTGGACCTAATGTAACTTTTAAACACCGATGGTTCTGTATTAGAATACTGAACAACCACTCACATGATCCGGATTTGATGAACCTCTGAACCTCGCCTAATTTACTAGCTCATAATAAGGCTAGAAAAGAAGGAAGGTCATGCATGTGGCCAGCAACTTCCCATCATTTAAACAACACTACTACCACTACTAACTACTACTACTGGTGAAACTTCAAACCTTAGCCCTGAAGCTATATGTTCCACTTAAGGCACAGGGAATGGAAGAAAACTGTTGAACATCGCTTTTATTGTAATTCATTTCTAGAAGCATTCACCTCTTGTGTCTAGATTCCATTTTAGAAAGCTTTATGTGGCATTAAACGCGTCCCTATTTCTTTGCTTGATATTATTATTATTGGTACTTGTACCTACAAAATAACAAAATATCTATTTATTTAGCAATACAGATGCTGTTGCTGGAATGGTTTCTTCTGGAAGATGGTATTCGAAAGGCTTTCGTAATGGACAAAAGATACCAACACAGAAAGGTACTTTTATAAAAGTGACAACATATTCAACTGGAGTAAGTTGTTTGCAAATTGTGTTTTGTTTTTTTATTTCAACGCAATAGACAGATTTAGCGAATTCTGTTAATTTGGAGAAAAGACTTTTTAATTAGTCCACATAACTAAGACTAACCAATAAATAACTTCAGCTCAGTTATCATACCTATGAGCATAAAAATTGAGCACTGTGGTGGTAGAGTATAATTCCATTATAGGTAAAATCCAATCGAAATACCCACTACAGCCCTACAGGAGCAGGTCATTGGCGAGCACGAATAGCTCAGAGTGCAGCACTGGGTGAAGCGGGTTCGAATCTCAGAAGGGACATGAGTTCCTTCAAGGTTGCAGATACGCCTTGCTAATGAGTGCCAACTAGCACGAAACCTAGGTCAAGGAAGGCTTCCTGTGACCGATTGCCTCCAACTATCTAGGGTAAAATTTACTTTGATAAAGTCACACAGTGTTATACAGTAATATTTACTGATAACCACGTTTCGAGAACAAATTGTTGCCACTCATAATCATATCAAGTTACTCATATAACAAAATATTTAGAGCGAACAACTGTGGTTTCAATAAATTCTTTTTCAGGCTCTACAATTATAAATCCAATTATAATTTAAGCATACGATAGCCAGCCAGTAAAGGCAAATTAGAATCATATCAGAAAGTGTATTGTGGAACAAGTATTAGTGAGATGGGATGGAACAATAGTCAGATAGTTTTTTAATATGCATGGTCAATGAGAACATGGGACAAAATGAGATGAAGTAATTTCATATATATATACATATACATACATATATATATATATATATATATATATATATATGGTCGACAGAAAATACAGGTTTCAAGAGTGTAATCAGGGTGTGTGACAGTATGAAAATAAACCAACGAATGGGGCGGTCTAGACATAAGTTCAAGGTTGAAAATAACGACAATAAGAATGATTGTAAAATAATAACGATGATATGGTGTAAAATTACAAGCACTATTGGTGAATGATTAAAAAGCTATCTGACTATTGTTCCATCCCATCTCACTAATACTTGTTCCACAATACACTTTCTGATATGATTCTAATTTGCCTTTACTGGCTGGCTATCGTATGCTTAAATTATAATTGGATTTATAATTGTAGAGCCTGAAAAAGAATTTATTGAAACCACAGTTGTTCGCTCTAACTATTTTGTTCTGAATAAATTATGGGAATATTCAATTTACTCATATAAGTTGCTTGCTTCACGAGTAGTGAGATTATCAGAACACAAGAATTTAACTAAGGTTAGAATGATTGATCCCACGAAGATAAGTAACCTAGAAAAAACTCAGCGGTTGCACTGAATACATTAACACATAACCACACAATGGTGTGGGTGGGTAAAATAGATAAGTGGATATAGAGAGAGATTGATTACTGAATCCTGCCTGGTTCGTTGAGTCTACACCCAACCCAACACATGCAATGGAAGTGACTAAACACAAATACCGGAGGTATGTGTGGAAGATATTATTACCGCCAGTCAAATGAGAGGATAATATATAATGTTAAAATGTATTCAATTCACATTATAACATTATAACAAGTTACTTATTTTGACTACAAAAACACTCGCCTTATTTCCCACGTGATTGTATTTGATTGATAACACTCACATTATTATTTCTGAATGTACTTCATCTTATATTGATTTTTATTCAAATGTCTAATCATCAATTTTTACTCATGTATATAAATGAAGCCAGAATGTTGTGTGAGCAGTGCCTTGATATGATTATGAGTGGCAATAAATTGTGGTCGAAATGTGGTTGGTCATCAGTAAATATTACTCTGAAACACTGTGATTTTCTGGAAATGAAAATTTTATCCCTAATGAAGTTATCTTACCTGTTAGCCTTAAATCATACTCCTGATCCTCAAGTGTTTTGAACCACTTCAAGCCAATGAGACTGCTAACCTGGTCAATACATAAATCCATGTATTTCTAACCTTCTTCTATACATGTCTTTCACGTATACTGTTTTTCAACAGTTTAATATTAAGAACCTTCTACCACATACGACTCTGAATTTATATAAGCAGTAATGACACGTAATTTGAATCGGTATGTTGTTTAACAGTTGCGAAAGTTCAGAAAAACTGGCAGCGGAGAACTTTTAAAGCAAGTAAGTTTGTAGGGATTTTGATTTGGTGCAAGTTTGGTCAGAGCTTTCGGAAAAGCAACAAATTGAGTGAAGAAATAAATTCGTTTCTCAATCAGTTCCTCATCATCGCTTGGCTCTACACTAATATATACATTTGTTCTACATCAAAATGTTTTACCATTCAAGTGGTCATTTTAGTTGATCAGTTTTAGGTATATGGTGGAGGGTGAAATTAAGAGGTTAAAAGTCATCACAGGACCTACTAATTAATGGATGTTAGTAACAAGATATATAAGTTTTGAAGAAGAGAGAGGTGGAAATCAATCACGGAATTCAAGATAAGTTCATCCTTAGGCGTTCGCAACAAGTTATAACATAATCAAGAAATTAGTGAAATAGTGCTGATGACTAAGAAGAACAGAGCGACTCAGAAGAGTTTCGTAAAATATAAACAAGTTAATAGAATTAGCTAGAATTTCAAAAATTACAAAATCAAAAGACAGTTACAACGGGAGGGGAAAAGTTGCTTTTAAAAACCTAATGCATATTATGTCGTTAGCCAAGGTTGGCTAAGAGAGGGGATGTACAAATTTCCTTTAAACATAACACACATTTGGCTTGTTCAGATGATTGACTCTGCTGTATGTAAAAGTCGTACTCGTAGACCATGAGGCGACAGCTTGGGTGACATACGGTAAATAACTTTAGAAGCTTTGTTAGAGTGAGTCGACTTGATGTCCAGTATCGACAACGAGATGAGCTAGTATCGAGCTGCGTATAGCAGCTCTATTCGAAGCTTTGCCAAACCAAGATGGGAGAAGGTAATAGAGAAGATTTGTAGCTCAGGTGGATGATTTGCACTTAATAGTGTTCTCTGAGCTGGTGGGTTTAGTTGCGGAGCTTTCGTCGTCCTTCTGGACAACATCTTCAGCACAATATTTAGCATAAAGTGAAATCATGTGACCAGAAAGTTTAAAATCCAATCCGATAGAAAATGATCAATACATATATAAAGGTGCGTCGGTGGCACACGGTTAGGACTCTCGCCAACCATGCACATGGTACGAGGTTCGATTCCCCGCCGACGCACACCTGATATTTATGGTCGGCCTGCTAAATTTGGGCTACCGATATCACATGCTGAAAATTTCATACTTGTACCAAAAATACTGTGTAGAATCAAGCTATATTAAAAAAAAAAATTATGGTTACCGGGAGATGCAATTATATCACTAATGAAAAATTTAAATCATTCCACTTAATGCCAAATATTGCGCTGAATATGCCGTCCAGGAGGACGACGAAAGCTCCGCAAATAAACCAACCAGCTCAGAGAACACTATTGATTACAAATGGGAGAAGGTGTTCAGAAATTCGACGATGAACTTGCCTGATCATATGCCCAATGTAACTATCTCCACAAGAGAAGATAAACTGGTAAATACCCACGGAAGAGACGAAACAGTGCAGTCTGTCTTCATTTCTTGAACTAAGTATTGGTCGGCTAGTGAATACACAGCATAGCTTAGCTTCGCTGAAGGCCCTTCTCAGACGTTGTGATAAGATCTCACTATTGACATCACCTGTGAATTGTAATCTTAGGAAGACTGATTGTTCTGATAACTTCTAATCTTCTACTTTCACCTCCCCGCCATATACCTAAAACTGATAATTCTTATGGACTAAAATAACTACATAATTGGTACAATTCCAATGCAACATAGCCTACATATTAGCGTAGAGCCGATGATGAGGAACTAACTTAAATAGAATATATTTCTTCGCTCAGTCTGTTGTTTTTTTCTAAATGCGTAAACAGGAATTTTGAAAGTTACTGACCACAGATTGATATCACTAACAGAAACCATTGGAAGCCAACGAATACTGGATGGCTATTTCGTCACATTTCGGACTCTTCAGTAATACACACCAATGGTGCCACTAGGGGTATTCAACTCAGAACATTTAGTTTATTGGGTGACGTGGGTTGAATCATCACTGGAATCAAGCCTGAATACTGCTGGAGAGTTCGAAACTCGGAAAAACAGCTCTCTATTATTCCCTGGTTTCCTACAGCAAGTCAGGTGTGAGGACAAACACTCGTCAGAGATGACATTCGGTAATGGTCACGCTATATCGTGAATTGTCAGTAGTTGGAATTCATGTACTGGTCATTTAGTCGGATGTCTTGGTGGTGGTTGGGTACTTCTGAAGAGTCCCCAACTAGTGGGACGAAAAGTCAGTCCAATACTTGTAGGTTTTCCAATGGTTCTCTAACTGCTGTCAGTTCATGATGAAATCCTGAAAGGTTCTCTGACTGATATCAGTCAGTGATGAAGCTTGAAACAAAACGAAGTTTTACTGTTTAATTGGTGGAATCCAGAATAACGCGCATTTCGTCCTATTTGGGACTCGTCGCCTGGATGTAACTGCATCCTCCAGTGAGTCAGTGATGATGTTCCCACCGAGGATCGAATCCAGTGCCCATAGTTTCAAACGCCAACTAAAGCGTTATCCACTAGACCACTTGGATTCCACTGCTAGTCACCATCCACCAATTAAAGTTCGAATTACATGCCCGGACATCGTCGAAGCATCTGCAAAAAAAGCCGACATGTCAACCTGAGACCAAGCACTTTGGTCCAGTCAATCGACGGGAAAACCTAAAATTCAATTAAAAGGATGGATAATGAACAAACAATACTCTTTTTGATAAATTCATCATCAGGCTCTACAGTTATATATACATTATAGTGAATGAATGAATTAGTGTTATGAACAACATTAATGCTGTTTAAATAACATCGAATCAATAATATTGATAGATTACAGCTCAATAGCATCAACATAACAATAAACTGAATGTCAG